ATTCTATGAGATATAGAATACATAACTTGACTGCATCCTCATCATTGACCCAGCTTTTGGTTGTTACTATCTGTTTTAGGTATGTCTTCTCCACTTTTACTTTGTTTGGAAAGTAACTGTTCATTAACTTACTGACATAACTAGGAGTGTAACCAAAGTCTGTCACCTCAGTATGACATCTAAGACCAGTTATTACTGCAAACTCTCTCAATCCAAAATTTAACCTCTCACCTTTTAACTCAGCTGAAAAATAGGAAACATCAGATGATTTCAATTCATACTTCATAAGAAGATGAATAGCTTGATTTTGCATGCATAAATTGGGAAATGACAGTAAATAACCAAAGCATGTCTTCTTGAACAGCTTCAAACCATTTGGAGATAAAAGCGCTTTAATTTGGCTAGGAATGCTAGGATCACATAATGTCTGGAATCTAAGCACCTCATAATCAACATTATGGGATGCAAAAAAATGTCCATTCTGCAAAATTCAACAAATGTAATCTAACATTAATACAGTAATTAAAAAGCACTGATACATTTGTATGTTTCTACAAAATAACTTCAAAATTATACAATATAACAACAATGTTAAAATACATCAACAAATCTACAATTAAACTACAAAATTAAGACAAATAATTTCACATTATTTCAGTGCTTAAAAACATAGATACATATGCAATTTATATAGAACATTTCTACAAAAATCTACAAATAAAAAAAACCACAGAGTTGTAGATGTTTACCAACTAAAACAGGCGAAATAAGTACTGAAGAAATTAAAAGATTCTTACCTTCACCAGTGAGTGTTTTCGAACATTTTGAGGAGTTTTAACACCAGAGGCTTTTTTTGAATTTTTCTTCTTTTTGGGAGTTTTTGAACTGGGAGCCACCTTAGCTTTCTTTCCAGGTTTACTGATAGGCACATCTTCTACAAAATCATCATCTATAACTATCCCTTTTTGTTTCCTATCCGCTTGTTTGATTGGTTTCAAAGATTCTCCAACATCGAAATCATGTTTTTGTTTAGTTCTAGCTTCAGCCCTGATTTGACGAGGAGAAACACTATACTTCATATCTACAATTGCATGTGCAGATTTCCCTTGCTTTGGGGGTGAATGTGGTGATAATACACCCAAATCGAAAGAAGGTACATCAGATTCTACATCCTTTTTAGGGTTGTGTTTTGAAGTTTTGTTCTCCTTCATTGAGAAATTTTGAAGCTCAAGGGGAATTAAAAGTGTGTATGAACGAAATTGAAGATTTGGCTTTAATTTTGACTGGATTTGTATAAGAAGCTTCAGCAGTGGGTTTGAAGCTTTGTTTTTCTGGTTTTAGTAGAGGTAAAAATGGCTAGAATCGTGTGTGTGTGTCATGATACGTGGGTGGGGTCATAGGTTTAGGAGAGAGAAACGTG